TTTGACCTATTAAAATACTGTTAATTTTACGACCATCATCATGTTGGATGGGATTTAATTAATTATATGTAATGTAATGTAGAAGAAATCAAAAATATTAAATAGAAAAAATATTTAGGTAAAGAAGAGGTAACCATATGTCATATATGTTTTAAAATGTTTTGTAATGTTTACATTTTAATGTTGTTGAATATCTTACAAAAGAGTATTTGAGTATTATTTTTATGAATTTATTGTTCTGGCTATTTATTTAGTGCCTAAGTACCTACAATTGCACTGATTTAGTAGAATTAAAATAATTTGGAAAATCTGTTGTAGTCTTTAGTAACCTTTAGCAAGCATTGATTTAATTTGCTTATGAAAATATCATTGAAAATATCCGACAATCAAAAATAGCCTAGTTTAGGTAGGTAACCACTAGTTTTATTTTTCATAATTCAGTTGGTAAAAGCTATCACCCGGTTGCGAGTTCGAGATTGTCTAAATTCAAACATAAATTTGAAGTCGCAAGAATATTGAGATTAATATTGAGCATTAAGTATGCAATTTTTTGAAAAATTTGGTATGTTTCTGATGCCAATTAATTGGGTACGATGAAATATAATTTGTATAGTCATTAAGTATTAATTTTGTTAGGCATAAAGTGTTTGTGAAATGTGTGCATAGAAACTGCACTAGTTATATCTAACTGGTTCGAGTAGTTGAGTGTCATGTTATTTATTAAAGGTCACCGTGGTGGTACTACTTAGACGTGCTTACAAGTTACACCGAGGAAAGATTTACACAGGCTCAGTTACTGACTCCGTATTCCTCCGGTTACCGGTAGTATAAATAGTTTTGTAGACAGTACAGCCCGACGTCACAATTTCTGACAGAACTGACTCCATGTAAACAGTGCGAGTCAGATTTCAGACGTCAGTACTGTAATGCTGTTTCTGAAGGGGAAAAGCCCTGGGGAACGTAGCTAGTAGAACGCTAGGCACAGGTTCGGCCTCACATGGAGTACTGCTCTCATCTTTGGGCGGGGGCACCCCAGTACCAGCTTCTCCCTTTAGATCGCAGCCAGCGCCGAGCGGCTCGAATCGTCGACGACCAGGACCTTTCCGATCAGCTTGATCCTTTGGCTTTGCGTAGGGATGTAACTTCGCTCTTCATCTTCTATCGCATTTATCACGGGGAGTGTTCTGAGGAATTGTTCGGATTAATTCCAGCTGCTGCATTTCGCCATCGTACATCGCGACAAAAATTTCATCCCCATCATCTTGATGCGCGGCTATCCACAACCGTGCGTTTTTGTCGAAATTTTTTACCACGTACGACAAAACTGTGGAATATATTATCACCAGCAGTGTTTCCGGACCAATACGACCCAAAAACCTTCAAAAAAGAGCGTACTCCTTCCTTAAAGGCCGGCATCGCATTTGTGATACTCCTGGTGTTGCAAGTGTCCATGGGCGACGGTGATCACTTGAGCCGTCTGCTCGTATGCCCCCAATAACATAAAAAAGACTTAGCAATTATTACAATAAGAACACTTAGGATGCTCAACTTTGTTAATTTTAAACTAAAGAAAATTATAATTGTATACTATTAACCGCTCTTTTCTGTGCCTGAATTCTATCTGCTGGAATGTTCGATAAAGGTTCGATATGAGACAAAAGATCCTCATATTCAAATCTTTAAAATAATGATATTTACTTTTTAATATAACTGCCAGCCATAGGCATTACATAAGCAAATAGTTTAGACATGCAAGGAGGCCGTAACACTACGGGCGTTACAGTATCTACTGACCGATTTTATCAGTAACTGACCCTATGTAAACCTGCCCTGTTATAGTCAGATAAATTATTGGATGTTATATAATAACAATTTGTCATTTTCGCTGTATGTATTCTCTACCTGCTAGAGTTGGTCACCTGCATTTTTAGCGAATCTAGTGGCGCGTGAATCTATTGGGGTATATTAGTATTATTTGAGGTGTTTGCGGTTATTTTGCCCGCAATGAAACTGTATCTAGACATTAATCGTAGATCGCATCCTAATGGTGTCAAGATCGATTAGATATCGAACCAAATTAAAGTATCTCTTTTAGCCAGAAAGAAGGACATACATATAGATCTTAGAATTTGGTTGCCTCTGGGCGTATTAGTGCAGACCCAGCTGAAAATTACGGGTGTGAATTAGAGACCCAGATGTAAATTACGTGTGTGGATTAGAGACCCAGATGTAAATTACGTGTGTGGATTAGAGACCCAGATGAAAATTACGTGTGTGGATTAGAGACCCACATTAAAATTACGTGTGTGGATTAGAGACCCACATGAAAATTACGTGTGTGGATTAGAGACCCACATGAAAATTACGTGTGTGGATTAGAGACCCACATTAAAATTACGTGTGTGGATTAGAGACCTAGATGAAAATAACGTGTGTGGATTAGAGGCTCACATTCACATAAAGATGTTTTGGTGGAATCCGGTAACTGGAGTGACACTTGATCTCTGCTAAGTGTCCAGTTAGGGTTTGTACAATGGCACAGGTTAGGTCTGCATTTATTCTCATACCTTATTGGCAGTAAGGTTTTTTAAATGAAATATATTAATATGATTATTGAACTGTATTGACTTCAATCCCAGTTTTTCATTAAGATATACATATTACTAAATAGTCAGATATTTTTTTATAAACAAAGATGGATTTATTGTTGTTTTATCTGTTGTTATTGTTAATTGTTGTGTAAATATAGTAGAATTATTTTAAGAAATCTGTTACTCAATTAACTTTAAAATATGCTAAATTGTAAAACCTTATTTTATGTTAAATTTATATAGGTAATTTTATTAATTTCGATATTCCTAATTTAATATGAAAATTTTTCGAATTCAACATTTTATGATTTCTTACAATATTGTTACTTTATCAACATGATAATAACCAAGATTCGATGCATGAAAAGATTCGTTTTTTCACTTGAATGCTATTATTGCTTGAAGGTGTGCAAGTTATCCTATGTGTTCCATTCACACCCCCTAATTAATAAACAAAGAATAATCTAAGACTAGTTACGCCGTGTTTTGTTCATGCCACTCAAATGCCATTTGTCATTCAATAGACAAAGACAAAACATGGAATAATTAATCCAAGCGTAGTCTTCGTTTATTAATAAGGAAACAATAGTGTCGTTTCTGACACGATTCTCTAAATCTAAACTTAAATTTGACAACAGTGTATCCTTGCCATTCTCTATACAGAATGAAAAGGAGAGACTGGTGTTTTTAGTTTTAAGTTTAGCGAATCACGCCGGAATGGACACCATTGTTTTCTTACGTCTTTTCTGTGAAAGGGATCGAGTAAGCACAGCCAATCTTTTCATTAAGCAATTGTACCAAACTATGTTATCTAAGTAAACAGTAGTTGATGTTTAAAACATCGCTTTAAAGTAACTCGTACATATCAGTAGACGTGAATAGATGTATGTATGTCAATTTAATGTTGCTCTCAATAAAGGTTTTTGAAAAGTGTTGCTAGTTTTATTGCTTTTTTTACCCAGTGCGCAATGCAAGAACACGAAGCGGGACGCGCAGACAGGGTGTTTAACAGTCTATATATGTATGTTTGTTCCTTTGTGGCACACTAGAGACCAAATGCCTTCACCGATTTTGATGATTCGATTTTTTTTCGTCAATCGATTCGTCTTAATCATGGGAGTGCTTCCATAAGAATTGTATTTCAATTTATAGTAATTGGGGACAACTAGCCGCCATATTGTGAGAAAGAAAACAAAATTGGCATTGGATAAAAGCATTCTTAATAGCCACCATTGTAAATGTCACAAGCGCTTATAACAAAACTTTTAACTGTACATGTCATTAAAATAGCAATGAATTACAGCAGATTTACATTTACTTATGAAGTAAGTTAAAAAGATGTTATTGTGCTCATGGTACGACAGTCGGAATTAAAGATGCACGGAAATTCGTTTTAATTTCGGTATCACCGAAGTTCGGCAGCTTTTGCCGAACTTAGACCGAATGTCGGCCAAAATTCGTAGCCAGTATAAATAAAAAAATGGAAAAGTAAATAACATTATACATTAGTGCAGCGGCCTGACCCCTCCGGCACATCATCTTTGACCTATTATAATATGTCCCTACTGCTGGAGCACAGGCCTTCCCTATGGATGGAATAGGGAGAATTAGCCATGACCCTCTAATGGATGCTAACGACTGCAGATGCAGGCGGGACTAACGGCTAACATGCCTTCCGAAGCACGGAGGAACTCCAGATAGAAGATTTGTCACCCATCCAATGACCGACCACTGCGAAAGTTGCTTAGCCTCAACTATCGCAGCTGAACGCGTTAACCACCCGCGCCATCGAGCTCCTATACATCAACATCTCCGGCACATATTTCACCGGAACCGAATACGACATTGCGCAGGGCCCACATTCAGTGCAACACTAGTAGAAATATAACCAATATTTAAGATTAGTCTTGTTTCTTGATTATAGTAAATAAAAAGACATGTACTTGTCCATCTTTGACGTGTTCACTGACGTTAACAAACAGTTCTAGGGTTGTATTCCGTAATATATATACCAGTATACTGGCCAGTGCTAATGACGTCATGAATCGACGTTATACTGGTGAATTGCTCCGTAATATATTGGCCAGTGCACTGACGTCATAAATCGAAGAAATATTAAAAATAGTGCGAATAAAGAAGACTTTTTATTCACCTCATCAATTAAAAGGAATTCCTTTTGTTCGGATACCATTATTGCTCTTTAAATAAAAAAGAAATGAAATTCGAAGGCATCTCACGCACGCTCGGTCATACGTCATATTCGTTTTCCCGGTAAAAATATGGTAGCATACCAGTACAATATGGCGTCGGATTCGTGACGTCATTACCACTGGCCAGTATACTGGTATATATTACGAAATACACCCCTAATGAATGGATTTTATTGGGTGCTTTGATTGAAACTAATAATTTAAAATGAAAATTTTTATTTCTGTCTGCCGTCCGTCCATACATAACAAAGTGGTAAAATACATTTCGTTTAGCTACAAAAATAACATGCTATAATTTAATATTTTATAATAAAAATATATTTACACACACAATATGAGTGATCACTCATATTTAACAACAAACACACATTTAAAAATAACTACGAAAATATGTTTCTATACATCGCAAAAATATATACATACATTGATTATTGATTGTATATTCTAACCTAAAATTACAAATTTATTTTGACATACAATATTAAATGCATACAAAAAGTTAACTGCAAAAAACAATATTATTATGCTTATAACGAAATACGAGTTATTTCTACTATCAGCAGTAATAGATAAGATTTTAAGACCCGTATTAAGAAATCGCTCTCAACTTTGGGACTACGATTTTGAGATACTTTTTTCATACAAAACAGCAAGATCCGAGTTGAAAGCGATCAATTAATATGTGACTAAGAATTTAGTTACTAACATATTTCTATTTTTTGTTCAAAATACAATACTATAAATAAGACTAAACACTGGTTGCCTTATCTCTTACTAAGAATCAGATAGTTGTCGGACTAAATAAAAACTTATTTATTTAAAGAAAATATAACTAAGAAAAATTCCAGTCAGCAGCCGGGACTCGAACCCGCACCCTTCGCTATCCGGGCGAATGCACTGGTCGGCGTAGAATATTTTCTAGTAATATTTTCTTTAGATTTAAACATGGAGCAGCTATATGCTTAAAAAATTCAAACTTATTTATTTTCAAGTGGCCAGTTGTGGCTAAACATGACAGAGTTGTGAAAGGATATATACGGATACTCAATATACAATTTTACAAGTAAGTTCTGAGATCTCCCCAACCTAGGGCAGACATCAGTACTACAGAAGTCCTAGTCTCCCCTAGGGGGGCCGTCAGGGTAGATAAAAGTCCGACATCATCAATGGGTGCATTGATATCCATACCGAGATTTTAACTATTTCGCTCATAAACAGTTTCATAAGAAGAATATCTCCTATTTTCTGTTTGCTATTTACAAATTCAGTTTTTCAGGTCGCACCATATAAAACTCAAAGGTGACTGACTGATATAGTGATCTATCAACGCACAGCCCAAACCACTGGCCGACTGGACCGATTTTGATGAAATTTTTTGTGTGTGTTCAAGGGGATCTGAGAATGGTTTAGATTCACAAAGACGTGTAGACAGGACAACGTCTGTCGGGTCCGCTAGTATAATATAAAACTCAAAGGTGACTGACTGACATAGTGATCTATCAACGCACAGCCCAAACCACTGGACGGATCGGGCTGAAATTTGGCATGCAGGTAGATGTTATGACGTAGGCATCCGCTAAGAAAGGATTTTGACCAATTCTACCCCCAAGGGGATAAAATAGGGAATGACAGTTTGTATGAAACTTTGTCAATTTTAAACCGATCGGGCTGAGACTTTGCATGCAGGTATAAGAAGAATCATAGATGAATGTCATTGTGTATAATACAAGCCCGAGAACAAAAACTGTAGTCTACACTTCAGCTCCACACCGCAGCGAAGCGAGGGCGGGCCGCTAGTTATGAAATAAAAGCTTTGCAATGTAATATAAAAATAGATGTAATAAAACGGGGTCTGCGATATTTAAATATTATTTATTACTGGTTTTCGCTTCGTATGCGCCCATAAAAAATAGCTACCGATTCTAGAAGAATCCTAAATGATAATTTGATTTAAAGTTCTGTTTAATGCTTAAGCCATAGGCATAAGTTTTTAAAGTTATACTTCTTTAGGCGCGTTATGAAAAAATGAGTGAAATTTTAAGATGCGCGCGCGTCACTGTAACACAAAAGTAACACCATGAAGTTGGCCGCGAAACCACACATTAAGGGTGTATTACGAAATATACATAAGTACACTGGTCAGTGGTAATGACGTCACGAATCCGACGCCATATTGTACTGGTATGCTACCATATTTTTACCGGGAAAACGAATATGACGTATCACCGAACGTGCGTGAGATGCATTCTAATTTTATTTCTTTTTTATTTAAAGCACAATAATGGCATCCGAACAAAAAGAATTCCTTTTAATTGATGAGGTGAATAAAAAATCTTTTTTATTCGCACTATTTTTAATATTTCGTCGATTTATGACGTCAGTGCACTGGCCAGTATATTTCGGAACTTCACCAGTATAGCGTCGATTCATGACGTCATTAGCACTGGCCAGCATACTGGTATATATTACGGAATACACCCTAAGTCTCGAAAAAAAGCTACCAACAAAATAGAAATACAATCTCCTTAGGACGCGTATGTTGGCACGCTCGTCGCCTCTGATCACTGTTTTCATATTTATAATATTTATGCACATGTTTCTAGTTTCTATATTTACAACACGTCTTTTAGTTTCATACAAGTGCGAATTATATATGTGCTAATAAATGATATTCAGTAGTGATTTAAATTGAATATTGTGATTATTTATTTAATTTTTCAAATTAAAACTGAACTTTATTGACTGTGTTGAATATCCTTTTTCAGTCCTTTTACTATTTCATTGTAACTAATTATTTGCATGCAATTAAAAACCATATTTAAATTTTATAATCTTTGGAATAAAATATTATGTTATTTATAATTTTGGTCAGTGCATTCGCCCGGATAGCGAAGAGTGCGGGTTGGAGTCCCGTCTGCGGTTCGGTCCGCGTGGAATTTTTTCTAGTTATATTTTCTAAAGATATTATGTTATTTATTCAAAATCAATAAAAAGAATTTCCACTATATTAAAATTTTATTATGACATTTTAAAGATACAATGTACTGACCACTATGCTACCGCGGCCCTTATGGGCTTGTCGATTTTCCTCTAGTAGTTCTTAGCCTGCAAGGCAGTATTGGTCAGTGCATCCGCCCGGATAGCGGAGGGTGAGGGTTCGAGTCCCGACTGCTGCCTGGTCCAAGTGGATTTTTTCTAGTAAAAATTTCTGTAGATTTAAGCATCTAGCAGTTAAAAGCTTAAAAGCTTCTTTCAAATGTTTAATACTTGTAAAGTTATTCGTTAAACATTGTGAGTTATGGGAAGAGATGGCGCTGCCTTGCAGGCTAATACTTTAAGAAATTCGCCACGACCATTAGGGCTGCGGTAGCATAATGGTCGGTGCATCCACCCGGTGTAGGTTCGAGTCCTGTCTGTTGTCTAGTCCGCGTGGATTATTTCTAGTATAATTTTCTTTAGAGTAAAAAAAAAAGATACAATGCAATCGCATTTAGATGAATGGCAAAAACCTTGGCGGTGATGTCGAATATTTGCATTTTTTTTATATTTGCATTTATTAATTGATTATTTTTTCAAATTACAACTAGAAACATTATATATACTAAGTCAACTCGCACAAACACGTATACAATTTTAACACAATGCCTTTTTGCGTTTTCAAAATTGCATAACAGTCTTTACTTTATTATGCATAATGAATGAAAACTTTGTTACTTAAATAGGTAAGTACATAAAAATCGATTCTCATCATCCAAAAAATGTACTCCACTAGCGTTAAAGGAACATCCTTTTAAAACGAATCAATTATCTAAGTGTATTAATCTATATTAAAGTTGATGGCACATAATTACGTATTCTCAAGAATAACAACATACAACTCTGTCATACAGTCGAAGATTTCAATATCTTAGGTCAAAAATAGGGTATTTGACAAGTTTTAGAAAACGATCTCACGTTATTGACTAATGTTTATCGAGTCCATAAAAAGCAGATATTCATCATTCTGTTGTGTATTTCAGCAAAAATAACCAAATCAAAAATTCCATTTTCAAGTTGCCGCGAAAACGTTTCTCTTGGCAATATGGCGTCTTACTAGCGTGTGACGTCACACGACTGTTATTAAAACGTCAAACGATACAATGTAATGTCACTGTAACCGGAAGTTTACTTGCGTGTGACGTCATTTTAGGCTCCGCCAATCCCAAGCGTTTTGGGTCACGTGACATAAGATAAGAAAACTATTATCTTTTCGTTAGTTTTAAGTAAAATTATGAATATTTTTTTAGTAAAAAATATTAAAAACTCCTGCCAATATTCATTCTAAACAGAGATGCTAACAATTGGCACTTTATTTTTAACACTGTCAAATACCTTATTATTTTCATTAAGAGTCAAAAGTTCATAACTTCTTTAGGTATAGTCTTGCTCGGATTAGACATATCAGTATCATATTGACTGTATTCATGTTATAAGATACGCCGGCTGACATTTGCAGTCATCGTCATTCTTAACCTGAAAAATAAAACACTAATGTTAGTGTGTAGATGAGAGTCAATTCTTTTTATGTTTGAATATCTTGGCGACTTTGTTGACAACGGTAGTTTTCCAATTACAGCACTAGAGAGCATTATGCGGCATAATGCTTAACGTTGAATGTTTCAACTACAGCAACGCTTCGCACAATCGAGCACTCTCAAAAGTAATGTTTTCGTGTGACGCGTGCAATCGTACCAACTCAGTGACAGAAAATTAACAAGTGTTTTTGACGTGACAACGTCTTAAATTAGGTTGCGGCTGGGAGTCACTTATGAAAAAGTGTAACGCTCGGTAACGTTACGATGAGTTTAAGTTTACATGTACAATGTTTTAGTAAACAAAATATATTTCTATAGTTAAAATTTGTGCAATTCTTATTTTCATTCAATTCCTTGTTCCTATTGTGCAATTTAATTATATTCATATCAATAAATATTCTACCGAGAAAAAGACGTTGTCACGTAAAATCTTCGCCCGTAAAACCGACTTTACAGGCAACCATTTTTTCTTTAAGTTGGCATTGATCGAAATGTTTTATTTATATATTAGTAATATTATTTATTGTTGAAATTTTTTTAAAGCTTTCGTTTCGTTGCAGTTTTTTCTTAAATAATCAAAGTTAATTCAAACATAGATGCACCAAATTTACTTGAATTGCTTAACATTAATATCAGGTATAGACGCCGTTTTCCTAATACCTTTTCAATTCAAGTATACAAGAATAATACATCCTTTTATAACCCAGTGGTAAGAATGTGTCGGACATATAATGAATATGTCCGTGGCAACAGGGGCATGGACATATTTAATGGAAGGTTTTCACAGTACAAACGAGTAGTGACCAATATTATTAAAGCCAAATGGTCCTCAGATAGCAATTAAAACTACATTATTAAGTAAAACTATATTTTTTAAGTTAAGATTAAGCTTTGCCTTCAATTATATAAATTACATATTATGTACTGTTCAATTTTAATCATGTTGTGTACACGTAAAAAGGAGTACTGTCTAGATTACTTCAACTATAATTTTATGTTAAACATGTATTGACTGTATTCTGTTAGTGTACCCATAATAAATAAATAAACTGCGTTAAAAAAATAAATTTATGTATGGATGAAGGTACATCAATTGACTTTTTTTTCAACACTGAACCTAACGCACTCTGCTGGTGCATTTGAAAACTAATTCACGTTCCAATTAAGCATCAGCATAATTCGGCATCGTGCGCCACTGAGTCGCATTATGCTCTGTAATTGGAAAACTACCAACAGCAACGATATTAAAAACCTTAAATACAGCACGTGTACTCAAAATGTGTCCCAATCAAGAGGTGCTTGAACACAACTCAAGTACTACGGGGTATACAAACAAAGTTGGTAAAGTTCACATTGCCAATATGTTCAGTAATAGACTACAGGCCCGTGGCAAAAATTTATGGGTCATTTGAACCATGAGAAGACCTATTTAGAGAGAAAGAAGGACATTAATTAATAAGATTCTGCACTATCCCGTCACTGGTAAGCGTGTCCAACTGAGAGCAGGTGGGAATTCAAAAGTACAGATAGAGGAAGTACATTTTGGTCATATTTTTTTGTACGGCATTCTTACTAACAAAAGATACATGAAAAATAATAAGAAAACACGTGGTGCCATACAAAAATAGTGCACCACAGTCGTGAAAACTTTTGATTTTACGAGGATTTTCGGGCTAAATTTGGTAATTTGTTTCTGTACGGCATCGGTTTCGTACAGTTTCGAAACCTCTTATAATTCATTATTTTGCAATGCCGCACAAAAATCTCGATGGACTCGATGGCGCAAGTGGTTAGCGCGTTCGGCTGCGATCGTTGAAGTTAAGCAACTTTCGCGGTGGTCGGTTATTGGATGGGTGACCAAAAACTTCCTATCTCAAGCTCCTCCGTGCTTCGGAAGGCACGTTAAGCCGTTGGTCCCGGCTGCATCTGCAGTCGTTAGCACCCACCAATCCGCACTGGGCCCGCGTGGTGGGTCATGGCCCAATCTCTCTATTCCATCCATAGGGAAGGCCTGTGCTCCAGCAGTGGGGACATTAATAGGCTGATGATGAATGATGATGATGCACAAAAATCATGCGAACTGGGGGAAAAGTCGAGGGTTGCGACTCCTCTCCCCTTCCATGGTCCGGTGGTGATATGAAAATGTACGACACAATGGAAGGGGTCGACGAAGTGTGACATTGGTGTCGATTCTGGCATGATTCTCTAAACCTAAACTTAAATTTGACAACAGTGCATCCTTGTCATTTTCTATACATAATGAAAAGGAGAGACTGATATTAAATTTAGTTTTAAGTTTAGAGAATTATAATAAATAAATAAAAATAAAAAACATTTATTTTCAGACAGAGTCCATAGGTATGTTAGTACAATTGACTTAAATGCTATGTTAGTAACAATTATGTCAAATTAATTATGCCAGAATCGACACCATTGTGTGACTATGTATGGGAGGATCCTAGGTTTCGTGACGTCACATTTCAAAATCTAAAACATTTGAACTTTATGAACTTTAAAACATTTAGAACACTATCTGTATGGATTTTAATTTAAGTTTCGCTACCGCTGTTTTAATATTAATAATTTCTGGGTGCAAAATAGTAAAATATGTGATGTTACACGAAGACTCTCGCGCTCAAACGTGATTAATTGTGACAAGGACGGGGGAATGGTAAAAAAAACAGGGAATCAATGTGACGTACTTTATGAATGTCCCCAAACATGGCTCCTTAATTACTCATCATCATCATCAGCCTATTAATGTCCCCACTGCTGGGGCACAGGCTTTCCCTATGAATGGAATAGGGAGATTGGGCTATACCATGATGCGTGCGGATTGGCAGGAGCCAGGAGTTCTGCAACGACTGCAGATGCAGCCGGGACCAACGGCTTAACGTGCCTTCCGCAGCACGGAGGTACTCGAGTCGAACTCGGTCACCCATCCAATGACCGACCACTGCGAAAGTTGCTTAACTTCAACGATCACAGCCGAACGCGCTAACCACTTGTGCCAACGAGCTCCTCATCATCAGCCTCTTTTATGTCCCCACTGCTGGGGCACAGGCCTTCCCTATGGATGGAATAGGGAGATCGGGCCATGATCCACCACGCGGGCCCAGTGCGGATCGGCGGGTGCTAACGACTGCAGATGCAGCCGGGACCGACGGCTTAACGTGCCTTCCGAAGCACGGAGGAACTCGAGATAGAAATTTTTGGTCACCCATCCAATGACCGACCACTGCGAAAGTTGCTTAACTTCAATGATGACAGCCGAACGCGCTCATCACTTGTGCCATCTCGCTCCTCAACACAGTTTAATGACTCACCATCAGGAAGTGGTGCAGACACAGGTGCGAGGCCCTCGCCCTGGAGTCAGGGTCGTGGGTGAGGCACAGGGTGCAGAAGTGTGTGCCCTCCTCCGACAACGAGGGGGGGATCTCCGGCCGACCACCCATCCCGACTACGAACATTATCTGGTAGTTGCTGTCGTACTCCGAGAACGGACGCTAGGACAAACAAATAATGGTGGCTGAAAAACAGCGTCGGTTGAGCTGGCTGAGCTATTCTCTATTGTCTTGTTTTAATGAAATATTATTTAAGTATCTGTTAGCATGTAAAAAAAGACAATAAATTATGTTTTTTTTAAGCATTTAACTGCTAGATGTTTAAATCTAAAGAAAAGTTTAATTAGAAAAAATCCACGCGGACCAGGCAGCGGACGTAACTCGAACCACTGCACTGAACCGAATGCACTGACCTGAGTGGGTTACCCACGATGCGAAGAGATGGCGCTGCCTTGCAGCTTAAGGCTAGGAAAATTTCGACGCGGCCATCAGGGCCCTGGTAGCATAATTGGTCAGTGCATTCGCCCGGATTGCGAAGGATGCGGGTTCGAGTCCCGTCCGCGTGGATTTTTTCTAATAAAACTTTACAATAAATTATTATTATTATTTAAAACAGTTATATAGTTTCCTTACAAATAAATAAAGACAATTTTATTTAAAGAGAAAACTCTTTTGTTGCACTCACTATGCTCCCCTAGCATGACCACTGCGATATGATATAAAGCTCGTTTATATCACGCTCAAATGTCAAATTACTATGGCGTTTGACAGTTACACGTGATAAAAATTGTGTGTGTCAGCTCCGACGCACGACTGGAATTTACTTCTTAAGTTCGATAGTCTAACCAGACGCAAAAAGAAATTATTTAACTTCTAATCGACGAAATATTTTACATTAAACTTTTTACAATAGTCAATTTCAGATGTGCATAAATAAAGGTACGCTACGATACTGTGCTACGGTGTAGCACTACGGCTGCTACAGCGTAGACAGTAAAAACGTAACGAGGTCATTCATCGATAGATTTCACTCCTCACATTTTTCTCATACCGGGCCCCTTATATATGTAAATCGATTCTTAAGGAGTAAACTCCAAAAACGTGATATATTGCAAATTGTGGTGCTCATGCACGGGGAATACACTCATCATCATTTCTTTTTGGATTTTATTGTTGTTTTAGCCTCGGCAATGCATAATGTTGTAAAGCTAGTAAAAATGAGTCCCTGATTCCTTTGGTTTATCAATAACTTGAGAATAGCTCAACTGATATCATCTTTTTTTAGTTTTCTAATAACGTATAACGTAACTAATACTCTTTAGAAGGTTCTTACGAAAAAAAACATAATTCATATTAAAAAAAAAAACAGTTTATTTCACAACAATGGACATGGCAATTATTCAGTTCCAAAGCATGTACTCGTATTTGAACAAATAAATAAATGTAGGTATTTGATAAGAAGAAAATTAATGAAACGAACTGATATGTAACAAAACCCTAAATTCTGGGTTTTTCAGTTTTTTATGTATTTTTTATGGGACAACGTCTGTCGATCCTGCTAGTTTACAATAAAATATCATCATCATTAGGGGCATAGGCCTTCGCTATGGATGAAATAGGGAAGATTGGACCATGACCCACCACGCGGACCTAGTGCGGATTCGCGGTAGCTAATCACTGCAGATGCAGCCGGGACCAACGGCTTAACGTGCCTTCCGTAGCACGAAGGAGATCGTGATAATAAATTTTTTTGGTCACCCATCCCATGACCGACCACTGCGAAAGTTGCTTAACTTCCACGATCGCAGCCGAACGCGCAAACCTCTTGCGCCATCGAGCTCCTCTAATCATCATCCTATTATCCGATCTCTAATTACTAGTAACAGATTCTCACCTTTCCGGAAGCCATTTCTGTGACAACACATCCCAACGACCAGATATCCGCGGCGCGGCCGTGCCCCGACGACTTCATGAACACTTCGGGCGCCATATACGCTGCAGAATGGACAAACATAATTGATAAATATGGATACCGTAGACTTTTTTTTTTGAAGTGAAACTTCTTTATAGGCGTTGGAAAAAAATTTACCGTCACATTTTTTTCGGTTACGCGTCACGTTTTTTGGTTACGCGCCATCTTTTTTTTAAAAGAGCACTATTTACCTCATCCGAACAATTGCTTCTTCTGTCAACTTTAAAAAAAAAAGTATCGACAGCAAATATTCGTGTTTCACACAAGGTAAGGTAAGGTAAGGTAAGGTAAGGTAAGGTAAGGTAAGGTAAGGTAAGGTAAGGTAAGGTAAGGTAAGGTAAGGTAAGGTAAGGTAAGGTAAGGTAAGGTAAGGTAAGGTAAGGTAAGGTAAGGTTGATATGAGATTAGCTTAAGAAGATGCTAATATACCGCGGGCGCTTACGGACTGCGCCTTTGGTATTAAGCTTGATTTCAGTTTTCGTTATATATGTGTTTTAGTAAATAGTATTAGTTATTAGTATTTAGGGTTTTACTAAGTGTGTTTTATGATTTTAATAATATGAGTTTATGTTTTTCTGATATGGCGTAGTTTACGTGTTATTGAATTTTTTGAGGTTTTTAATAATGTAGAATAGGTGCTTTAAAAATAGTTCACTAGTGTCATTTTTTGTAGCTATGTCGTTGAGGTTTTTAATATTTAGATTGTGCATACTGCATAAAATATTAAGATCAGTCCTGGTGGACTGGAATCTCGGGCAAAGGTAAAGTAGGTGTTCAAAGGTTTGAGGGCTGGTATTGTCGCAAGGACAGAAAGGATCTGGTGTTATATGGAATCGGTGCAGGTACAGTTTATTATATCCGTGGCCGGTTAGAAGTTGGGCTGTTTGGAATGAGACGGGGATTTTGGCAAGGAAAGAAGTTAGATTTGAGTAGGATGGGAAAAGCTTCTTTGTGTATATACAAGGTAAGGTAAGGTAAGGTAAGGTAAGGTAAGGTAAGGTAAGGTAAGGTAAGGTAAGGTAAGGTAAGGTAAGGTTAGGTGTAGTTATACCCCTTTAGTGGGTGAGTTTTTGAAAAATCTTAGCGCACGCCTATATATATATTTCTGGAAAGTTGCATGTAGATCATTTTTCGAAAAAAAATAAGGCCATAAAGAAGTTTCACTTCTTACGTGTGTACACTAGTACACGCACACATTTTCTCTTTATTTAAAGGACATGTCAGTCCCATCAGGGATCTTTACAGACGTGTCAGTCCCATCGTGTACTTATATAAATTAACAAATCATCTAAGCCAATTAACGTAATATGTTATTGTCGGAAGAAAGTCGCGGCAGACATATAAAGCGATACAGCATTCTGGCCTCTTCCGAGACCGGTTGGGCCAGAACGCTGTGAAACACACCAATGTCTGACATATTCAATTTACATTTGATAACAAACTCTTGTCTCTCATTCTGGTACCGGACACAATCCATCAACAAGTGCTGGAGATCTTCTACAACACAGCATACTTAACAGTTGGGAGACTCAATTTTTTTCATAAGATGTCCAAACTTGTTACATGGATAATGTCCAGAACGAAGTCTATTTAAGGTCACTACAAAGTGTCGACTTAATGTTAAATTAATAAACCACGGTATTCGTAGAGGCTGACTCTGTATGGTTTTATACCATATTCCTTTATAATAAGACGATGTATTGGATGAATAACACCATAAATAACAGAAGTTTAGAAAGAAAGAAAGAGATTAAAGATTCTCTCGGTTGTTGATAAAATCCGAAGTAACACCAAAAATTAATTAGAACACCTAAAAGTAAGTACATGTCGCGTCGCTTTGCAGCCGACTGCGATTTCCGTTCTCTCTCTACAAACGGCTGAGCTGTATTGTTATCCTCTTCTTGATACAAATGGCCAGTGTAACCCGACTGTATACAAAATTTCACATTTCTATAGAGCAGAGGCTGTTACAAGCACTTGTGAAGGTCGAGAAACTACGCCATCTATATGAGCAGCATGTTAGTTAGCTTGCGTGCCCAGGAATCCCTGCAGTTCTCTGGGTCCGGTAGTATTAGCTCGTATCGTGACGAAATCACCCAGTTTCATGCAGTGACATTCGTCAGTCAGTAATATGTTGCCACATATACAATGAGCACATAGTATATGTTACCTTGCGTGCCCAGGAATCCCTGCAGCTATCCGGGGGCGTTACTATTGGCTCGTATCTTGACGAAGTCATCCAGCTTTAGACAGTGACATTCCTCAGTAAGTAATATGTTGCTACATATACAATGAACACATAGTATATGTTACCTTGGGTGCCCACGAATCCCTGCAGTTCTCCGGGTGCGGTAGTATTGGCTCGTATCTTGACGAAGTCACCCAGCTTCAGACAGTGACATTCCTCAGTAAGTAATATGTTGCCACATATACAATGAACACATAGTATATGTTACCTTGGGTGCCCACGAATCCCTGCAGTTCTCCGGGTGCGGTAGTATTGGCTCGTATCTTGACGAAGTCACCCAGCTTCAGACAGTGACATTCCTCAGTAAGTAATATGTTGCCACATATACAATGAACACATAGTATATGTTACCTTGGGTGCCCACGAATCCCTGCAGTTCTCCGGGTGCGGTAGTATTGGCTCGTATCTTGACGAAGTCACCCAGCTTCAGACAGTGACATTCCTCAGTAAGTAATATGTTGCCACATATACAATGAACACATAGTATATGTTACCTTGGGTGCCCACGAATCCCTGCAGTTCTCCGGGTGCGGTAGTATTGGCTCGTATCTTGACGAAGTCACCCAGCTTCAGACAGTGACATTCCTCAGTAAGTAATATGTTGCCACATATACAATGAGCACATAGTATATGTTACCTTGCGTGCCCAGGAATCCCTGCAGTTCTCCGGTACGGTTATTGGCTCGTATCTTGACGGAAATCACCCAGCTTCAAACAGTGACATTCCTCAGTAAGTAATATGTTGCCACATATACAATGAGCACATAGTATATGTTACCTTGGGTGCCCACGAATCCCTGCAGTTCTCCGAGTGCGGTAGTATTGGCTCGTATCTTGACGAAGTCACCCAGCTTCAGACAGTGACATTCCTCAGTAAGTAATATGTTGCCACATATACAATGAACACATAGTATATGTTACCTTGGGTGCCCAGGAATCCCTGCAGCTATCCGGGGGCGTTACTATTGGCTCTTATCTTGACGGAAGTCACCCAGCTTCAAGCAGTGACATTTGTCAGTCAGTAATATGTTGCCACATATACAATGAACACATAGTATATGTTACCTTGGGTGCCCACGAATCCCTGCAGTTCTCCGGGTGCGGTAGTATTGGCTCGTATCTTCACGGCACATCCGAAGTCGCCCAGCTTCAGGCAGTGACCTTCGTTTGTCAGGAATATGTTCCCGCCTGGATAATAAGAAAGAAATAATGAAGATAATATAATTAGTTATACAGCAAAAAAAAAAGAGTATTCAGAAGCTTATAAACGAATATTGACAGCTCCGTAATCGTATCGTCAATGTCAAATTTTGTATGGGAAAAGCTAGTTTGCTCTTACGACCGATAGGGGGCGCTGCTTATTTTTCATAGTAACTTTGACGATGCGATTTGATTACGGAGCTGTCAAAATTCGTGTTTGGGCCTCATCTAAACCAAAATATAAACAAATTTTGCTGTAACAGCCACAAAAAAATTCTATGGCCCATCCCGAGATGCGGCGCTGATTTTCAGATGCAGCCGAATTTTAGAGTTAGATAAGCACAACTTTAATATCATACAATTTGTATGAAATTATGAAAAATGCAAAAAGCTTATATAGTACTTTACTCAAATAATGCGCAGAAATTAAAACTAAGTAATACCTAGGTAGAACTTTCTTCAAAATCAATGAATAATAACACTTTCATATCTTTTTGTTTATTATTCGATATAATGATTTGATTTTAACCGGGACATTGTTGAATATATGGTTTTTTTTTTAAATCTTACAAAGCTTTTAAAGGCTTTTTCATCAACAGTTTACCAGCATTTGTTGCTTCTTTTCCATAACGCATGTGGTCTTCACCTATAATTGTAATAACATTAAGCTTAAGTATTTTATCATTACCTGCTAGATTGTTGTGTCAATGTTTATTATGTTGGTGATCAAATAAATAAATAAATAAATTAACCGACTTCAAAAAAGGAGGAGGTTCTGTGTTCGACTGTATATATTTTTTTTCAATAAACAGCTTTCTATTTGCAATTCACTTTGAAATTGAAATAAAATCTTTAATATGTTACCTTTTCGGTTACCATGTTTCGTAATAAAACCTTGTTGCATTTTAAAACTACACGACAGATATGAGTTTATTTTGTAATTTATTTAGCCGCTAAACACGGCAGATATGGATTTTCATACAAGTATTGCCGGCCGCTGCTCGCATGTACGTAGCAAGTACAGCAATTTCGATTTATCTCGAAGGAGGTTGTCAAAATAATATTACTATTACCTACTTATTACCACAAAAATTTAGACATGCACATGTTGAGCACACGAGTTTAAGAAAAAATGTCCTACAAATAAAACAAGTTTCAACGGTATAAATGCATTAATTAATTTATTTAAGACGTTGTTTCCCATTCGTCGTCGCCGTGATCTGCATAATATTGTCCCTACTCTTCTCAGTACTTTTCAATCCAAAAGCTCCAGTCTATCTCAAAGAACGTTTTCAGTTTCTTTCCTCTTCTCATAATCTTGCGCTTCGTTCATCTGACAATCTCCTGCTTTTCACACCTCCTAACTTTTCCAAGGCGTATAGCCACTCCTTTACCATACGTGCCATCCAACTATGGAATTCTCTGCCGGAAAAGATTAGGCGTGCCCAAATTGTAGCCTGTTTCAAATCCCTAGTTAAGGAGCATTTCTTGTCAGATGAGCGTAATTTTCATTAAAATATTGCTACGGTAGTAGTACTGTTGCATTATACTGCGATATGTGTGAATGTTTGTGTATGCCTGTATGTTTAGTTAGCGTTTATTTTAATTAATTTCAATTGACTACTTACAAAACTTTTGTCTTGTTTTTCGCACAACCTCCCTCATTATTATTATCGTGCTTTCCACTTTTTCCAGCTCATTGGGTTGTCTGGAAGAAATCGCTGATTAGCGATAAGACCGCCCTTTGTGCAAATGTGATTGTTTTGCCTTGTATTTGTATTTTATTCGTGTTATTTATGTTACTGTTATGCAATAAAGTATTATTATCTTATCTTATCTTAAGATGATTCGTATTCTTTTCAGGTTGCGCCGTCAGAATTATGATTTCGTAATTCTGGCTGCGTGTCAGAATTATGATATCATAATTCTGACGGCGCAGCCTTAAAAAGTATGCGAAACGTCATAAATAAATCAGTGCATCTAAATCGTTAAAACTTGTTTTATTTAATGAGTGGTGTGCGTGAAAACCTAAGAAATAAAAAAGTCATACAAAATAAGCCTAAACAAGGTTTGAAATCGTGTGTAACCATTTCATAAGACCTTATGATGAAAATATAACTAGAAAAAAATCCACGCGGACCAGGCAGCAGACGGGACTCGAACCCGCACCCTTCGCAATCCAGGCGAATGCACTGACTAATTATGCGTCGAAATTCTTCAAGCCATTCTTAAGCTGCAAGGCAGCGCCATCTCTTCGCATTATAGGTTACCCACAATGTCAAATGAAAACTTTTACAAGTATTAACATTTGAAAGAAGAAATAGCAATTATAGTTATAATTTTTATTATTTTAAAGCATGTAACTGCTTGATGTTTAAATCTAAAGAAAATATAACTAGAAGAAATTCCACGCGGACCAGGCAGCAGACGGGACTCGAACCCGCACCCTTCGCAATCCGGGTGAATGCACTGACCAATTATGCTACCGCGGCCCTCACGGACCGCGTCGAAATTCTTCTAGCCATTCTTAAGCTGCAAGGCAGCGCCATCTCTTCGCATTATAGGTAACCCACAATGTCAAATCATTTGATTGGTCCGCGTGGATTTTTTTCTAGTTATATTTTCTTTAGATTTAAACATCAAGCAGTTACATGCTTTAAAATAATAAAAATTATAGACCTTATAATTTAAGTGGATTTTATTACAGTTTGAAACAATAAACTCACTCTTAATATCCCTGTGCACTATATTCCTAGAATGCAGCTCTTGTACAGCGCTTAGCAGTTGCTTCGTGTATCTTCTGACAGTTTGTTCAGCTAAAGCGCCCGACGTGGCCACTAGAGCTTCCAGGGATCCTTCCACGCATAGCTCCATGAAGATCAGCATTTCTTCCTATAGATGTTTTAGAAAATATTTTGAACGAAGCACAAAGGACATGGTAAAGTTTTGTATGAGCGACTGCCCTGGCAATGTATAAATACTATACTAAGTAATAGTTAATGGTAAATGGCTAAGTATTTATAATTTCTATGAAAAAAGGCTCAAGAACTTTTGATAAAGTCACAATCTTCAAAATTATGAGAACTCCTACTATGTCATTACCTTACTAAAGTTGATAAAAGATGTTGCCAATTATTTACAGAGTGATCCAATTTCGCATTATCTTAGAATCTTTCTTCCCATTTCTCTGATTAACTTGTCACTAAAAGTTTTTTTAAAGCAAAAATAAATACAAATAGTTTGTTATCGTCGGCCTGACAGGAAATCTGTAAAGTTTTATTTTGTCCATTTGCAAAAATTAAAGGATTAATTATCATACAGCCTTGTCTCAAGCCTAATCAGAATAATGAAATCTATTATTGTAGTATTTAATTTTGTAAAAAATAAGTTTGTTCGTACATCCGATAGCCCTATCGACGTAAGCTGCTAAATATTCTCTGAGTAAAAACATATCGTTACTAGCCACACTTCAAGGTTTCTTTTAAATATAGGTAAACTAAGCTCTGTTATCAAGCGTGGTAACTTATTGTCACAAACGCTCTCGAAACAGAACCGCGAATGTGCCAGAGCACCGCGGATCGCGATAGAGGTCGAGTAATGCGGCTCATTCTAAAATGAGCCTTATGCAGTGCGGCGTAAGGGAGAAAGTGCAACGACATCTGCACTTGTTTACAAGTTATGCGCGTTACCTGCGTAGATATAAGTAGGTATTTCGTACTCGCGGGTGCTAGCTAATTCTCAATTTAACAGGTACTTTCTAGGATGCGTCGATCGGCGTATATAAGCGCGATTGGCGCCGCGCAGAGACAGTTGAGTTTCAACAGAGATTTCGGAGCGAATCCAAAGGCGACCAAAGTGCAACAAAAGTGTTCAAGTGCGATAGTTTAGAGACTTGTATAGTGAAATACAGTGTTTAGTGAGTGTTTTGTAATTAACATTGTGTGTTGATTGTGAGAACTGTGTGGTGAATAAAGAACTGTCAAGCGTGAACTGGCATGTAATAGATTTTTATACAATTCTGGTAGCAGTTTTTGTTGTAATGTTGAGTACTCATATTCGGCAACATGAAGTTCTACCCCCAACATCTGGACGCTTGCCGCCTTATTAAAAAACTTAGATTTAAGTTAAACCTGTACCCTCAGCACGAACCACTGACGAATTCGAATAGTTGAATTCGATCTGTTTTATACGTCAAATTTGTACTGATTTTTAGGGTTCCGTAGTCCTGACAAGGAACCCTTATAGTTTCGTCATGTCCGTCTCTCCGCCCCCGCTTTTGCCTGGATACTATTAGTATTAGAGAGCTGTAATTTTGTAGAGATATGTATATCAATCACGCCGTAAAATTGTAGAATTAAATTTAAAAAAAATGTTTTTTCTTAGGGTACTTCAACGATATTAAATACCCTAGATACACCACGAGCGCTCAAAATGTGTCCCAATCAAGAAGTGCTTGAACTCCACTTAAGCACTTCTTGGGTCACAGTCACGCGCGGACCGTCGAAAAATCGAGATGCCACAGAGCTCCGCGAAAAAATGCAATAATAATACTTAGAGTACGAAAAGTGTCGTTTTTCGACAGGTATCTGTCAATGTTTGTTAATTTAACGCATTTGAAGTAAATTTTGATCTAATACTTACTATAAACTGACTTTAATATAAAATATTTGTGATATTCAAATGCATGGTCGGTTATACGTCGCCATATAGCCGTCTCTTTTCCTCGCGGTCCGTGCATGTTATATTGCTAACAGCGCGTGCAAAATTGCGCGTAGAATCAAAGAAATAAGGTCTAAATTCTTCCGCATATAGCAATAAGTCGTAAAATTTTACGCGCTTGCATTTCGAACTGTCGGATGTCCTTGACGCATGCGTTTTATTTAAGACCTTATACAGTATGTATTAAAGGTTACTTTCAATATTTAAATATTGCCTTATATTGATTTTGACTACGCGATCATCTTACGGAGCTCCGTGGATCGTTCAATGTACCTTTTGAACAGGTTTCGGCCACGATTTTGTTCGTGTTGGTGTATCTAGGCATTAGATTCTAGGGTATTTAATATCGTTGGGGTACTTCCCCTACCTGTAACCTGAGGATGATTTTTTTTTCATCATCTACTCCAACTTGTGGGATATCGTTGAATAGGTCCTTTATAATTACATAGGGGTTTCTAAAACTATTTTTCGATTTAGGGATCCGTTTGCGAAATACTGAACTTTAAAGTCGTAATTTTTGTTCGAGTAGCCCTTGGACTAAAATTGATGCTGTCACTTCTGTTTGCTAAAAAGAAGGCAGAGACAACATTGAGTTTAAGCCAAGAATAACTTTAGACCGCGTTTTGGAACCCGCCTTAGTTAGACTTCTAGCACCATGCATTACGCGCGTTCCTTTGTCTTGCAATCCAGCAAGATCTAGAACGAACTTCCCACAGCTGGTTTTTGTTACATGAGTGGGTATTTGAGGGCTGCGTCCCGCAACGTCAATAGGGTATTTGACAAGTTTTAGAAAACGATCTCACGTTATTGACTAATGTTTATGGAGTCCGTAAAAAGTGGATATTCATCATTCTGTTGTGTATTTCAGTAAAAATAACCAAATCAAAAACTCCATTTTCAAGTTGCCGCGAAAACGTGTCGCTGGACAATATGGCGTCTTACTAGTGTGTGACGCCACACGACTGTTATTAAAACGTCAAACGATACAATGTAATGTCACTGTAACCGGAAGTTTACTTGCGTGTGACGTCATTTTAGGCTCCGCCTATCCCTAGCGTTTTGGGTCACGTGACAATAGATAAGAAAATTAATATCTTTTTCGAGGGATTTTAGTAATATTATGAATTTTTTTTTGTAACAATAATAAAAACCCCTGCCAATATTCAATCTAAGCACAGATGCTAACAATTGGCACTTTATTTTTAACACTGTCAAATACCCTATTGTAATAAACCAGTACGCAATAAGCTGTCTATTGATTCACACACTCCTACGTAACAGTTTTCCTTTAAGCTATGATATGGTGGTTTTCCATAGGCGGATAAAACTTATCCTTTAAGAGTGGTGCTGCAAGTGCTCATGGGCGGCAGTAAACGCTTACTATCTGGGGGCCTACCGCCTTTTTCTTTAATATTGTTATTAACAATGCAAAAGGAGCGTGAGGCTTTAAAAAAAACAAGTGTGCTTATGACCACACGACTGAAGTGAAACTTTAGCTCCATCTGTATGTATATATATATATAGTATATGTAAATGAGGTTCATTACCCTTCATTCAATACAGACGGTAAAATAGTGAGTGACCATAGAAAAAGATATGGATATAAATAAAATATAATTTTGTGCACGAAAAGTTGTATGAAGTAATAGCTATAAATGTTGTTTCGCATTTCTGAGCAACACAATTGTTATGTTTCGTAATTAAATCTATTTAGTTCATAAAATTACGATATATATATATAATATATGTATATATATATATATATATATATATATATATATATATACATCTTGCTGATCATGTTGCGTCTTATATGGCGATTTTTGCTATTGATCCTGCGTCCGACCTACTTGATGCGTCCGGTATACGGACGCAAGATTAACCTAGCCTCATTTTTTGTGCAAAGGCGTCTTTTGATGCGTAGAATGCATGGGCAAAAAATTGGCGTGGACTCAATTTCATCACCAGAATGCTTTTTAACGTATTTCATAGTGCGACCATCGACCGTGCGGAATTTGGAGGGCGCTACCGTGCAGTGTATATTTTGCAATGTATATTTGGGGTTCAATTTACAGATTTTATTGCGTCTTCCTGTATATATTTAAAAAAGTTTTTATCAATTCTCTAAGATGATCATCTTGCATCCAGTAGGTATCTTAATTTGCGAGATCGCGCGACACCTGAGGGGCCCGTTTTGGGTGCATTTGAGAGACGAAACTGGGCGTCCTACGGGTCGCGTGTGTTTGTATACAGATCCGTGCTCCGTGGACGCAAACTTATTACCGGAGTGAAATTTATCGTATTATTTGATAGAAGTAAATAAACGTAAAACAATGAAGAGATTTTTTAGCAAATTTGATATTTTATACCATTAACTTTTAGAATATTATCCTTAGTCGTTAATTTTATTTGTATGTTTCTTTTTGTTTTTTTATTTAATTTTATTTTATGAATTCAATTTACTAACACTAGATTTGTAAGCATAATTGTTACTAACCATTATGGATGGAATAATCTGAAATAAATGTCATTATTATTATTGTTTTGTTTACGTTTTCGATTTATTATAATGTAGGTACATGATAAACCTACACGATTAATCGACATTAATGATCGAGAGAACTTTAACAACGTTAATTATTAGCCACTATTTATTAAGAATGTGATTCATTTATTATTTTGTCGTAATGTACCTACCTACAGAGAATTCTTGTCAGAACTGTTGGTTAAATTTTTAAGTATACAGTATTATTGTTCAGCCTTTGTATTTATAATATCACATCTAGAAAACATGTTAATTATGTCACTGAAATTAACTTAAGCTTATTTCTATGCACCATTTGCTAATTTGTATCTTTGATTTTTTTTGATATCCCAATTAACCTTACCTCTTAGTATGTATACAGGTATTCACCTTCCCTATAACTTATACAAATTCAAAATTCGAATTCAATATCAACGCAACCGTGCCCCCCACCAACACGACAAGACAAGCAAAGTGCAAGGGCTCCACCTAACTTTTCCCGAAGGGCATCGCCATTTTAGTGGACCTTTATAACTAGGGGTTGGATTATCCTCATAAAAAAATCTCGAATTATATAAGTAACGGTGAAGTCCAGACGCGAAGATAGCTGATACAGCAGTTCTACCTACCACACCAGCCATCCTCACCC